GATTACGGTTCGAAGTTATTATTCAAGCTGTATAATCTAGTAAAAACACTTAGAAATAGAAAGATAACAGTGATGAAGAATCCAGAGGATTATGATTTCAGAGAACACAAAGTGTGGATGCAGCTGAGTGGTTGCAAACAATTTTAAGCCTTGTCGTTCAAAGTCTCTAACTATTGGTTACTGTCATCTCGCGGACCCGAACCACGTCGTCTAAATATATCTCCATTGGTCAGTCCAGTTGTCAATGACTTCATGGATTTGTGCCATGTTTTGGTCTTGACACCCTGAGCTTTCTTCCAACCTACCTCTACACCATAAAACATACCTCGTCGAGGGAGTTTGTGGTTGGACATTCAGGTCACATATCCCAACCACCTTAACTGGTGAAGTTTAAATACTTCATCAATTGATCTGCCATCCTTACCTACTACCCGTTTCCTAACAACAGCATTGCCTACTCGGTTGTTCCAGGATATACGAGTAAGGCTTCGAAGACACCTATGATCGAATACTAGTAACCTACGAATATCCTCTACTCTTAATAGCCATATTTCACGGTCATAAAGTGGGACGGAGTGGACTGTTACATAGTAAATTGGTCTTTTGGTTGGTAGACGAATATCTAGCCTACGCCTTAAATAACGCAAGTTAGCAAAAGCTAGTCGAGCCTTCTGGATCATTGCAGAGATTTCACCACACACCAGACCGTCAGCACTGACCAGACTACCAAGATAAGTGAAGTGGTCAACACTCCTGACTACTTCACTCATCATCAGACGTAGGCCAATTCTGAAGAAACATTTTGCATTTCGAGGGGGGGGGGAATCGCATCCCGAACATGCTTGCATTGTTGCTTTAGGAGGTCAAGAGATTCTGCATCTTGTCAGCGTCTTCACCAATCAGAGCTTCATCATTGACATATTCAAAGTCAACGAGTGAATCTCCTGGTAGGAGTTCAATTTTTTGAAAAATCAGTTGAGGAAATTATTACCTCTAAAACCATGTCTGTGACAAATTTTAATAAGAATGGTGAGAGTCGACAACCTTGACGAACACTACTTGAAGTAATCAGTTCCAATGACAGTTCGCCATAAGCTCTAACTTGACAAGTGGCGTTCGAGTAGACAGCCTGTATTATGTTGATGTACTTCACTGGTACTACTTTCAATGACAGACACTGCCATAGAATTTCACGACCAACAGAGTCAAATACCGCCTTTATGTTGGGAAATCCTACTACTGTTGGACGTATGGACGCCTGTCTGTATTCTAGGACCTTGCGTAGAGTGAATACATGGTCTAAGCAGCCACGTCCTGGTCTGAAACCACCTTTTTTTTCTCGAATTCGCTCTTCACGAGTTCTAGTTAGGCGTTGAAGCATTATTGAAGCCAATGTCTTTGACACTATATTAACTAAAGTGATCCTTGTGTAATTGTCATAAGAGGACTTTTATCTTTTATTGTAAACCTGGACAATCAATCATTAACTGGGACCAGTCTGAAGGGATTATGCCCGGTCCCCAGATTCTACCCAAGATCTCAGTTAATCTAGCTTCTAAAACTGGACCACCATCCTTAAAAATCTCAGGGATAAGCTTGTCAGGCCCTGCCACTATCCATCGCTTTAGATTTCCTATAGCTTTCCCAACTTCATAAAGAGTCGGAGGACTTACACCAGTATGCCATTTAGGTTGACTGGAGATCGTGGGTGACCGAAGTGTGGTGACGGCCAGTTGAACTGATCCCTAATGTGTTCTACCCATCGATCCAATCTCCTGAATAAATAATAAGCCTATTCTTTTTCCAAGAGCCAAATGGCATGGGTTTCCGAGCATCCACCAGTTCGGTAGATGCTACTTAGTTCCACTGCTTTTCCCTACCTTTATGGTTTACCCTACTAGCAGACATCACTGCTGCTTCCACAGCTTTTTTGATACCGTTTCAAGTTGCAACGTGATGACGATCAATTACACGTACGCCTAACCGTTTTTTTAGTTGTTCCTGAAATATATACTTAGCTTTGCTACCATTAAGTAGAACCCTAAGATGATTCCTTGTGTTATCTTTCCTACGTACAGTAAGCCTCACTAGAGCATGATCTTAACTAGTTGCAGTCTTTGAATGGAGCCTCTCCATCGGTGGTTGATAGCAGTGTGGTCTAGTTAGATTTCTTGATCCAGTTTTGAAACAATTCCATTTGTTATTGCGTGATGAATAAAAATAAGTGTTTTGTCAGTTAAATCATTTCCTCTTCGTATGTCAATTTCGTCTTTCTTTTATTCCGAAATATTTGATGATTGCTTAAAAATGACATAATTAATTAATGCATCTTTGGAATGATATCTTGACTAGATGAATAATTTCAATAACAGACTACATCGACCAGTCATCATCACCGGTCATCACTGATGACATAAGTTTGCCGCTTAAACTGATACTGTGATCACTTTACATTGAGATCAGTGTGTTGTATTTAGAGGAAATCAAATTGATACTTGAAACTAGACTCAAAAATTGAAAGCCTGTATGAAATTCTCATTTACAACCATTTCAAAGTCACACTTGTTTCTGAACTTGAAATATTCATCAATATAAATCTATTCTAGATTCATATAACATTTTGTATGGTTAGATCATAAATTCTGATTGATTATTAAGCATTAACCATCAGTTTTATGAATTTCATTTTATAAAATAATATGAACTACATCGTGACATGTACGAATGATGTTCATTCACAACGTTTTCATATATATTTCAGGTAAATTAACTAAATATGATTCGAGAATTGATGAGATTTGCCGCTTCAAAGGAGAAATGATCTATATTGAAGAATGGTTGATGCTGTTATTCATTGGCACACCTGTGTAAACAACTACAGATAATCTATATTATTTATTTGCTTGACCTTCATGCTTTTTGTCTTATATTTCAGGATGAGAGTAACGACCATTCGAGAGCTCCAACTGCTCATCATGATATTTTGAATTGTTTAAACCAAACCTCATCAGTTGTCTGTTTGGTGGCCATCTCCAATCACTAACAACTTCCTTTAAGGTAGTTTTTCCTTATGCTTGGCAGTAAATGAGTGGTTTTAAAGAGCCGTCAAACTTAACAGGTTCAAACAACACACTTAAATGAGAGAAGGGATCTCATGCGTTTTACTTAACTAGGGTGTATTCAATGACTAATTGACATTGAACTTTGCAAATACAGAAGCTATGAACTCCCATCAATTCACGAAGTGTCATCTGTTACCTGATACCGAATTCTTGAGATGTGAATTATTTTTGATATAGTTCATGTCATTGAATCAAACTACCCAATGTTCTATGTGGTTGTGTATAAGTAGAATAAATCCTGAGGGGCGTTGAATTCCGAAACTCTGAGCTATTATTCCCAATATTCAGCACCATAAGTTTAAATTATTGACAACTTTTCCCCAACGGAAACGAATCTATTCCAGGTTGTGTCTAGCATGAAATGGTCTAATGCTTCTCCACCTGACTGTTTTATATTTAAAGTTTCCAACTTGTCTAATACCATGTCCATGTTATCCATTTTCGAAATTGGAGAATTTCGCAGTATTGATGAAGACATAGTATGCTTCTTTGAAGAAAATTTTAAACATCAACGTTTAAATAATAATGTCTAGTGTATAGTGAAATTAGTTGTGTTTATCTGAATTTTATTCCAGTAGATTGGTAGTTCCTCAGTATTCTTAAATTCATTTCCATATTGTTTACTTCTAACTACAGAATTCGAGACACGAAACAGTTATATGAGAAGAAACTAAGAATTTCTGACCTGAATTCATTTGACAGTAGTCTTGATTTGATAATTCAGGGAGATCAGCAGTCTGACGAATTAATGAAACTTTATGAAAAAGTGAGTAACTTATAATGTCAGCAAATATTAAAATATATCATAATTAATTGTACAATACTTACCAAAGAAATGGTAACTTCTCCGTAGAAACGGTTATTTTAGTTTATCGATTAAACACGAGAACTATGACGAACGATCTACTTCATCTCATAAATCGCAAATAGTCAGTTGTTGTTTATACAAATACAGGAGTATAGTATGTAGCATCACATCAAGAAAGAGCCAAATACAATCGAAATAAATTAGATTGATCAGTTAATAAATCGATCACTAATTATCTAATTACTGAGTTTTCGACATTAATTTAGTTGGTATGATGTTGAAAATCATCTAATTGCAGCTACTTCTATTGTTTCAATCAACAGCTAATAATTATATTAGAGCATTATCAAAACGTGAAAACGTGTGAAAAATATTGTACAATAATTAGCACACAAGATATGATTATTTTATAGTGATGTCTGAAGGTTAGAATCATTGTTCAAAATGAGAATATTTATCTGCATTATTCAAAAAGGATTTACAAAATGACTATTGTCCCATTTTCAGAGAAACGAAATTCAATAGTTTAGAAAGAAGGCTTTTTATTTTCCCCCAAATGCATCTCAGATTTGTTCAACAACTAACCTTGATGTGAGGCGTTGTTAACCAGGTCATCTTGATGACAAGATGTTATAATATTACTCTCAAGAATTTAGTTCTGAACAGAATATACTGTCAATCCCATTCAATATAACATCTGAACACCGAATCCCTTTATTCAAAACCGCACGACCTAAGTTACAGAAAACTGCTAATGCAGCTGAGTTTCGTATATAAAATATTAATCTTGTGAAATCTATTCTTCACAAGACAGTTTCACTTCTCCACTGTTTCTCATTCCCTTTACCAAACTGTACTACTTGATATGTATGAGTAGTTTGAGTAATGTTCAGAAAATGTAACGTCATATGATGTGATAGTCGATCCGAAAACACACTGACACCAATTGATAATTTCCTCCAACTTAGTGGAAATTTGGATCACATTCATTAGTATCTACCGAATCGAACTGATAAATAACTTCGTTTTGTCACCGCCTGTTTTTAAAGCAACATCTCAAGGCTAAACAGATGGAGAAAAGTATGCAGCATTTAGAAAAGATAAGAAAATTATCTGATGAACTACTGTATCAATGCATTCCTCGTACTGTGGCCAGAAAAATTCGAAATGGTATTCCAGCGATCGATACAATTCAGGTTTGTCAACCTCATTTTAACTTTTCACTTGCATCAATAGTAGTTATCGTACCTTCAAAATTATATCCACATTATTATAAGTGTTATTTATGATGACTAGTCTTCAACACTGTGGTCGAAATTCAATACTTCATGTGATAGAATATTGAAATTATTTTCACAATATTGATGACATTTGAATAATTCTGAAATGTGGATGACTCCTACCGAGATTGGGAAAATTCTTCTTCCGTACAACGGTAGTGCATGTGATGATTTTAGATAGGGATTTCCCCAGAATTACTTCTGCTGTCTATCATTGACTGACAAGCATAGAAGTATTTGATAAAAATATCGGCATCAAACTCAAGATTCAGTTGTACGTGTTGAGAATAAGTTTTCTCTATGTATTGGGATGTTTTCAATGTAAATTAATGTCAAGTAGACGTCTGACAGATCAACATTGATCAGAAATGTATACATATAGACCTCAGTAAAACAGTAGATTTCAGGCAACCATGTAAGCACCTGTGAATTTGAGGTAGATTATAGTATACTGACAGTATAACTCGTTTGAACATAAATAAACCATGTATTGGTGAGGGAGCCACATTCGTTTTCTCTGTTTACCTATCACTTTTGTGTATTCTGGAATTTGTTTCAAGAAAAAATGACTATAGTATTGATCATAATGACATAAGGCGTCACGTGACTAATAATTACCAAATGACATGTTTGAAATTCATCAAAAGACATCGATCAAACAAAGAATGATGCACAAAATTTTCACCGATTCCGAAATACCATACATGATTCCGACTAGGATGACAACAAAAATTCCACCACGAACAATTCTGTGTTGAAATTTTCTTCCATTGTGAATGTCTTTCACTAATATGATGGAATTGCTCCACGATTGCTCTACAAATGGTCCAAACATGTTGCTCCTGGATATGTCATTTTAAAGTCAAGTTTAGTGGCATGTTAACTTCATTGCTTATACTTATCCATGCGTTTGTTTATTAACCAGTGTCTATATTCATCCATATATCAACGGAAATTTAACAGATTCCTGTCATCCAATTGATTTTTCACTCCTTTGCAGGCATTCGATGAAGTCACAATATGCTTTACAAAAGTGGTCAACTTCGCCGCAAAATGCATGCATATAGATGTTGAACAAGTGATTGAATTGTTGAACAGAATGTATTCTCTCTACGATGATTTGACTGAAAATCATAAAGTTTACAAGGTAAATATATTTTTATCCGACTATACTACTCAACTGTCTAGATGTTTACAGTAGTATGTACATTCTATCACTCGAACTACACTCATCCAAAATAGTCAAAAATGATTCATCATAAATTTCATATGTGATGCATGTGTTTCTCCATTGCATTCAAAGTATACCACGGCACATACCACAGTGTAGATTACACTCTGATTCGACTGTTTAGTAATTAAACTGATACTCGTTTCCATTGATTTGTTTTGGTAAATGACTGTTCTCAATGGTATTTATGACTGTAGTTGACTAGTCACGTAGAGTTTGAACCGAAATGTCCCACAGTGAACATCAACTCTGAGATGCAGGTGCATCCAACTGACGAGAGCCAAATATGACACATATAGAGTTTGTAAGAATATTGTAGACAGTTGAAGGAACATTTGTAATATGATTGGAGTGCAGAGTGCATTTAGGATTGCCCGATTATTAAACTTGGTAGTGATTGCAAAACAAAAAATACTTTTCAGGAGTATGTCGATCTAGAACTTCAAACTGTCCCTTACCTCTAAGCAACCATTCATTTTGGATGATTGGAAACAAACCAACCACAATCAACTGAGCATAACTTTCCTGGTTAAAAGTGAAGCCGATTCAAACAGAATAATTGAAACTGACTCCAAATACATTCGTTTATTGCTTCGATAAACAAGCCACATCACTATATATGTTCATATTATCATTCATATGTATACAACTCACTTGAAAGTTATGACCAGATGCATAAATCCAACTGGAGGATGAGCAAGTGGAGAGAACGAGTAAATTTAACTGTTTCAGTTGATGAGTTGCTTTCAGTGTGAGAGGCAATCCACCATTTTATTCAGGTTGAAATTTGTGAATCAACATTATCATTGAAATCTATAATATCGGTTGGAAGGTCCCTTCAATTGAACTGGTACTGGGAAAACTCAAGAACTACATGATAACAACAATAGGATTTGTATGATTGTTATTATATTTCGAAAATAGGCGACACTCTTAGAGTCACTCCAATAAAATCATTATGCATTATTCAGGCAACTGTACATAAACAACATCTAACTCAAACCACTTTTACAGTCGACTAAGTGGAAGAGTAAATAAGCCGGTTCCTAATATTTTGTTCATAAGACACTACATAAAGCAACAGTTAGAAAGAAGAGGAAATATCTTATTTTCACGATGTCAAAAACATTCTGTACTATTGAATTTTGAACCTAACTAGGTATACCAGTGACAGATGTAGACCTGAGTGTTTCTCATATCAAAAAGACAGAATATAAGGAAGAAAATTTTCGGTATACCTCTGTAATAAAACCTAATCGTTTTGTTCCGATTGGAAACAACTGTAGGTTTCGGATGAACCATGTAACAAATAAATACACTGTAACATTTAATTACTGAAGATTCTTTTTTAAGGTTTTTGAGTAGAACTGAATTCAGTACTTCTTAAAACTATTGATCATATTTTTGGTAAGTTACACCATAGTGTTTCATACTTACTTCTACTCTACTGGACAAATATTATCTTACCGTTGCTTCTCATAATAAATAAGGTTAGGTGGTAAAGACACACACTCTCAGGTAGTTTACATTGAGGTTTATGTTTTCATCCAACTTATTTCATTCATTCTAACACACCAAATGTTACCTCACTTTCACATACTGAAGTTAAAATCAAATGGCTGGAGAATAACCACACCACACGGTACACGAAATAGAGAATACATACCATATAGTTGTCTGGTTTCACTGTGTTTTCAAATCACAGAAATCTGTACACACTAACAGTTCTTCGATCCTATTCTCATGGTTCGAAATCAGTACTTTAACTGATTAATCCAAAAGAAGTGATCCAAAAGGTCGAGAAAGTACAAGAGAGAAGAAATATTCGCTTAATTTCTGCATGATGTTCAACTCAGACTCATCTTCAGTTAGATTTCCAGATGAGAGTTTGACTGAGAGGTCGCTTTCTAACAACAATTGATTTTCGCTGTACTTATTTCTATTGTTGAAGGTTGAAACGATTAATGACAGTTATATGTTGGTCTCTGGGGCACCACACAGAACCCCATTGCATGCTGCACACATAGTCGACACTGCATTGGAAATCATAGAAGTTACTCTACTCAATCTCTACTGGCCAGAGTCAAGTGAAAATATTCCAGCTAATAACAAAGCTAAGACTGTTTATACAAATGAACACTTGCATCTGTACATTGGATGTCACACTGGTCCGATTGTTGCTGGTGTAGTCGGTTATAAAACACCACGATATTGTTTATTTGGTGATACAGTGAATACTACAAGTCGAATGATGAGTCACGGTCTAGTAAGTTGACATATGTACTCAATTTGAAATAATAAGTTATACACAACACTGACTACAAGCACTGTTTTACTTCCCATGACTTCCATGTAATAATTACATTGCATTATCTGTAGTTTAGCTGCATAATATGTGAAATATATCCTACGATCAAGGTATTCATGTTGTGCGTTTAGATAGCCTCTTCACTTCCTGGATGACTCATGACTAACTAGGTTTGGAACATCGTCTGTCCATCAGACCTGATTTGTGATGACTACTTGGAATGATTTGGACAAGCGAAAAGGAGACCGGACTAGCACACCACCATAAACAGTGAGCATGTTCGAATGGGTTGAAATGGAAGCACGCCCGATTAGAGTTATCAGTTATTTGACAAATAATTCATTATTATTGATAATCAGAACACAGTGCTGAACAGACACAAAACAACAGAACTAACCAAAACCAACGAACTAAAGTGTCACTATGACTGAATGTCGTGGAGCTGATCTTACAGGGAATCAACTTCTTGCGAAAACTCACATCGACCGAGAGTAATTATTCACTCATTATCAAATTCGAATTGTAGTACTTGTATACAAAATTGAACTCTCACTTGGAAAGTGTGACTGCATAGTGATTTTTCCCGACTCTTCATTCGAACAATATACATGTGTGGATTGTGTAGGACGGTAATTGTTAGAACATCTATGGATTGAAAGGTTTTCAAAAGCCTTTAGTGTTGCAATCTATCACAACATACCTAACATGCAATTCTGAACAGAGAGTTACAGGTACACAATTTATAATCTTCGTAGCCAGATGAGATAAAAGTCTTACTATTGGTCTTTCACTAGTTAGTACTCTGATGGTGAAATATTACTCCATCAAATATTACAAAATGTGATCATATAAACACTTACAAATTTATCTGGAAAACATTCTTTCCTGAAGTTTACAATCCCTGAAATTAGTTCAAGTTACCACTCAAGTTAAACAAACTCGTTCATTTGTCAAGTAGACCGAAAGTAACCAAAAATTTTCTTTCTATTGTAATTACTGGTGTGTGTACTTGTAGGTTTCATTCAAGTCATTTTCATCTAATAAATAAAATCAAGATCTTGTGTTACATTAACGCGCTCTTATTCAACATTCACATTTCAATTTTCATGTTCATTTCTCACATTGTCAGCCAAACAAAGTTCATATTAGTGAGTCATGTGCTCAGTCTCTATCACCTTATCCATATGAAATAGAATGTCGAGGAGAAATCCCGATAAAGGTATGTTATGCTACAAATTTACCTATCACTGATCGATATTCTGATTGAAGTAATTTTGTATGAATGCATTTTGTGAGACGAGTGTTGGCGTATAAGTCGATCACTGACTCTCATTCGATTAGGGTCAGACGAAATCAGATTCTCCGTTGATCTACGTCACGACATGAGGCTCAATACCGATTGTGATGTGACAAACTATTGTGTAGCTTGAGACGGATAGATTCATGGAGTCAGATCATTCAGGTCGGATTCGACAGCATGAACAACATAACGTTGTAGAAAGATTCTTGACTTGAAAGATCTCTTAGCATTGACAATTGGTTAATTGGCAAACACTAAACCAGTGTTAATGAAAGTGATCATTCATTCACTCATTCGTTCTAAGTTTCGTCAAAACTGGAGTGGATGATGGTATCAGATTCGAAGTTGATGCTCTGTGAACAAACCTATTGCGTAGAAGCTACAATCAAGTTTCCCTTGCCAATGTAGAAATGACAAGGATTTCACATCACACTTCTATTCAATTCATAAGCCATAAACTCAAATATGATCAGAACGACAGAAAACTTCTTGAAGCTTTGGATATGCCTTGGTAGAATATTCGGTGTTCTGATTTTCAAATCGCCTCAATACAAAGTGAACTCAGTGTTTATTTGATAAGAATGTTTAAGAAATTTTGTGATGACGGATGATAACACTAGATGGTCATTTTGTAACCTTGAATTAATCAGCTTTTATTCTTAATCCTCTCACATTCTACATCCAAATAAATTATTCTAAATGAATTGATATATTGTATTAATTTACTATCAACCGTTGTGTTCTGATTTTCATATCGCCTCAATACAAAGTGAACTAAGTGTTTATTTGACAAGAATGTTTAAGAAATTGACTATCAACTGTCATTATAACAACTGATTTCTGAGCAGTTGTTCGTAGCATAACTCGCATCCACACCTACCAGGAAAATAATACGAAGTCTTCATATTTCGAATGCTATTAAATGTACCATACTTAGGTAGATGAAACTACTCATGAATTGCAATGTAAACCTGAGAATTTCCAACCAACATTGGTTTCATATGAAACACAGCACAGATATGAGCGAGTTTCTACACACAATCAGAGAGGCAAATCTATTATGTCATAATCACTAAGTTTCATATAGATAATCAGTCACAGATAAGTGTTTGGGAAGGAATTTCGAAACGTTTAAGTTAGAAGTTGTCTACATCAACTGTCTCCATATATGTAACGTGCATTTCAATCATGCGCTTCATGAATTTGTACACAATGCGTACCATCCGAATTTCACTCAGACTGATCTTTTCATTGACAGGGTAAAGGAAATATGAAGACATACCTCGTCACAGGTCGACAACCAGAATTCGTCTTACAAGACACAACTAATGGAGTGAGTCGCAATTTCGCAGAGGTTCTCAAGGAAGACATGCTCAGAGACAATGAAACACCATCGGACAATTCTGACGACTCTGCGAAATTCTCCATCAATTTGTCTGACGCAAGTGGAACTACAGAAGAAGAATCTCCTGTCGCATCTCCAAAAGACAATCGCGAAAAACTGGAAATGGATGCCGAAAGAGCTGAGAAGCAAGAGCAGAGTAGGCGCTCGAGCAAAGGTGAGCGAAAACGTCGTAAGTCTCAACCACTCTCCAATACAACTTCACCAACAGACAAAAATCCTGATGTTGAGAGCGAGCAGGACAACGCGGGCTTTGTGAACAATCAAAACACAACTGAAGTCCTGAACGAAGCCGCACGTCGTCTAGTCGAAACGAAAGTCAGAGATTTGAAGAATGAACAGAAAAAGAAGCAGGATATCACATTCAATCTAGAGAATCCCGAGCAGATCTTGAAAGAGGCTCCCAGTGAACCGGATTTAAAGACAGTAGGCAACAATGTTGATGAGGCTACTCTGTTCAAATCGAAACCAAAAATACTCGAAAGTTCAAGATTGATCAAACTTAATCCAACAAACAAGGTACCCGGAGTCTCTGTTCCCAGCAAACCAATGCAAGTTACTCCTGTTAATGTCAATGTGAACAATGAGAGTTCAGATGTGACCGAAAATGTAACAAATGATGATGACGTCCCAGTTGCTCAAGAGAGTGGGAATCAAGAAAACTGTAAGTGAATCTTTTTTTGTAGGCCGTTTCTGTTACTCCACAACGCTACAATTTCAAGCAGAGTACATATTATTTTGACTGAAATAAAATGTTTTGTCATTCACTTTTCGCCAAATCATAAGAGGTCAGGTCACGAATGTCTCTCTAAGCATGAAGTTGACCATATTGTACACAAACCATGAGGATCAGTTAACGAGCACACACTTCAAAATAACGTGATCTTGGCGATTTACCATATCATTTATCAGATAATCGTCGAATTCTTTTATTAATTAGATTAATTGATTGAGATTTTACAACCAAGCTTTTCGAACTTCATACTCGATGCACCACTGCAATAACCAAAATTAAGTTGAAATTTCGACAAGCTTCTCATCAATTCTCACCAATCACTTTTATGCACACAACACAGATATTTACTGGAAATTTCTCCATGTAAGTGAGAAGATGGAGGAATCGATCAGTGTGGTGATACGTTATCTGTGACAACAATTGTATCACTGTTCGATTAAAATGACCGTATTCTTCAATGTCCTAGTAATAGAAAGTCAGTTATTAAGAAGATCGGTATTGAATCCCGAATATGTATAAAGAGGAATGCAACATTCTAAGTTTTTCATTTAAATGTGTGAAGTGAAAATAAGATAATGTATGAGAATGTGTTCTGTCGAAAAGAACCTATCACTGAAGTGAGAAATGACTATGTATATTGGGAACTATGAAATGTTCCCTAACTAGTATATCACCCAACGCCATACTACCTAGTCATCAGTATTGAACATACTACTGCTCAAAATCACTTTATTAATTCTTTGAAAATATTTGTTTACAACCTAACCGATTCATATCTTAAATCCTTATCAACATGTATTGACTGCGCTTGAAGCTGTCCAACGATACCGTGAAATGGTGAAACAGGGTCGTTTTGATCCAGTACCCGATTTGCCATTCTGTTCACCTCAGGCAGCCATATTCAAAGATTTAGGTAAGTATTTCATTTCACCTGTGTCTCTCATTTATTAACTATGTAAACGTTCATGAACCTAAACTAGACGACTTATTACTTTCTTGTTGTCACTTACAATTTTCAGAAAACAGAGATATTCATTGATATGGGAATTCAGTGAGAAATTCTGAATTTCAATTTCGTAATTATCTACACGTGTCAGCAGAATTTATCATCAAATTTGAGGAGTTTCATATTGGTTCAGATGGTTTGGTTTTGTATCTGCTTTAGCGAACCCTTATCCATGACTTGTGAAATTTTATCATTGTTATTTAATTTAAATTTTGTATTCGATTCTGTCCTCTCAGGTTAAGTAAATACCACATTTGATATCATGAGTCATTGTTTAGAAGACGGAAACTGATTTGGGGACTACCTAAATTTTTATATTCATTGATCCGATTGGTCATCGATAATCACTACAACCGAATTCAACATACCATGCACACTAAGTCAAGAATGACGAAACGACCAGTGGGAAAAACGGTCACTTTCGTTTGCGTTTGGAAATCTAATATTTATCCATTTTGTTCCATGACAAATTCCGCCATTTCTTTCCACAGATCTGAATATCCAGACAGAATAATTCCAGCGAAACTCTAACCAAGTGTAAAATCAGCTTGAGACAAAAGGTTTGAGTTGTTACTAATGTTACAATCAGTGTTAAAATCAAAGTGACTCCGTCTGTTAGTCCACTGGGTTTGCTACGTCATTTCCAAATGATATTCATTGTGCCTGTCAAAGTTTATTGGTATTTCAATATATGGTTACTTTGCTCTCGATTGTTGATAACTGTAACTGGTTACAGCCATGATTGAAGAATTTATCAGTCAGTCAACGCATAATAATTATATTCCGGATGGCATTTATTGAAGTATTTTGTGTCTCTACCGTTTAAATGACTTCAGTGTTCGAAAATCATTAGTGATAGTAGTAGTAGTAGTAGTCTTCATTTTGTAGACAAACGATCCGACATAGTTTGAATGAAATTTATTTCTAATCTTCAGCCTCCAACTTCATACGGAGAATCGACGAGAACTTTACAGAATTTTGGGAAGAAAATATACGAAAATTGAAAGATTTAGGGTGCTAACTGCAACGTCATTTTGTTTACTGTGCACCTTTTGATGTAAGTCTGTTCTGTTCAGAGTGAACGAGTTTGAAACTTGTGTGTATTTGATCCCTCCCATATAGTCGATTTTTCACACAATAAACTGACACTGCATAAGTTCATTTCCAGTGTTACCGCTTCAAAACACTTCTATTAGATCCAGTGAGTGATAAGTAATCAGTTTAACTGAAAACCACATCATCAGGAGAATGAAATCAGAGACAAGAAACGAAGTTTACTTTGCATTTTCCTACTTGTGAAATCTTAGAATCATCTAATGCTATCCCTATAAAGGGTGTCATTTACACATCTGCAGTAGTTATCCATTTCAAGTGGACCATATGAAGGGTTTACTGTTATGTAACTAGATATTGGAGTTTACTCTTAGATTATTATTTTATGACTTACTGGAATATTTGGGTCATCTGTTGCACACTCCAACCACTATAATTTCGACTCTACTGTACGAGAGGAAGTTAGTGTTGAGAAACTTCAAGTCTATATACCGTTTATCCCATTCATGCGAAACCGTTCAGTACCAACGTCTCTTATCACTTCATATACAATTAACAGTACAGCTGACACTCGAAAATGAATGAAGGTCGATTATCCGAATCGAGGTTCTGATTGATTTGTTTCATTCTTGATGCTCATTCAACTAATTAATTATTTGTTCTTCTTAATTTCGCATCGTTTTCAGCTCAACCATTGTGTTTAGCATTGACCGAATTACTCATCATTCGACCAAAGTATCCTATCATGTATCTGGCCATTTGGTTGAGAAACTACTCAATAGACAGTTCAAAATTTGATTGGATTATACATTCTGCATGAAACAATAATAGACATCTTCCATACTAGCAATCTTTACACTAAATGTTTTATTGATACTCTAATGTATGTTTCATTTCCTATGTGTTGTATCTGTAGAAAATGTTAACCTTGTTGAGAATACACACCATATCTATAGCAAATCTGTTTGTTTTCTGTGAAACTATTCACCGTTGAAATTGCACCCTGATCATTGTTGAATAAAAATGTTACGTCATTGAAAATGTATAGTTGTGAAATGAAATACCAGCGTTACCATGTAAATGATGGATTGTTTTCCGACATTCGCCAACAATTTCTATCAAATGTTTACAGAAAATACAGTTTATAGTAGGGAGTGAAAAGTTTATTCATGAGTTGTTCACAATAGTTATAGAAAATCACAGGTGAACAAGAGCTGTTAGCTGTATCAGAGGAAACTGCAAGTAATAATAAATCGACTGTCAGATATGCAGTGATAATGACTACATAGAATACATCAACACTCATTTTCTATTCGTAGACAAAACACGACATGTATGACCGCGAACTATGTCATTTTCTCATCCGTTAATTTGTGATTTGGTAAGGATTGACTGTCTTGCGAATGTCAGCTGTTCAACGTACACTTGACTAGATTGACTTATCCCTGAATCCCTTAACTCTATAAGTTCGCAACCCACAATGAAACTCCGAATATTCGAGTGTTAGTTAAACTGAACTTTTCAGTGTAATCAATCACAGAAACATCGAATATTTAACGAGAACTCAGAACGGACTGTAGCAATGTAAAAACAGTCAAACAACATTTTATGTATTGTGTAAATCTGTTTGTTCGTATTCAGTGAACTTGAAACTGTAGAACTGATAGTTTTGTAACACAACTCATGAATAGGTAATGTAACAGTAAGACTGGATTAGTTACGAGTTATCCTTCCACCATGTATTTACAACGTAGACAAAGTGTAATTGTGGTTTATGGTAATCATCATGGTTGAAGTGAAACGGATTCGTACTGAGTTTCCACGCCTAATGCATCGAAATAAACAGAATGATCTTCGGATTATCAGCCTAGAATTATATTCTCCTGTCATTTACACGTGGCAATGTTTTTTGTGAATTACAACAGTATCTATCATTGCAAGCCACACCAATGAACAACATGTGTATTGTAAAACTTGTAGTGCGTGTATTTTTATGTCCAGCCCATAAGGCTTGTCCCAAACCTTCGGACAATCTGACTAGTCCAGTCTACCTAAGTTATATTCACACGTCCTCCGATCTTGATAGCTAATCGCTTTTATTTTAGTTATTTCTATTCCAGTATGTTGTCTGTGTGCCGCCTACTTCAATTATCGCATGTCTGGCTTAATTTCGTCTGACTATAAATGCTCAGTCATGCCTCATTACATTGAGTTGTCTCGCCAGCCTTCTCCACTTCACTTCACTTTTCTTTCAAGCCATGTATTCTCCTGTTTGTCTGCATGATCGATTGCTTGAACCAAAGTCATTCAACCGAATCCGTATTTGGTTTTTTATTACCGCCGTCACGCAAACGGTGTTCGCCTCAGTATGATATACGGAAACTGAAGGGGAGATTTATTTCACGGCATATTCGGCTGTTTGTAAATATGGAGCCACATCGCGTATCACTAAAGTTGGGAGCACTACTGCAAGTTCAACGCAGCCACCAAAGCAGTCAACCAGAGGCCTAATCTAACCCAGCTTAACAAGACTCGTTAGAGGATTTTAATGAAACAACTTAAGAAATCCAGATTGAAGTTTCCGAGAATCAATAAAGGATCAGTTGAGTTTTGTTCTACTTACCAGACAAAATTGACTCAAGCTATTGAACTATTATTATTTCAAAGGTCCGATTTCAGCTGTTGTGCATAAATCACTTCTCTGTGATACCTTATTACATTTTATCTGAATGCTTTTACTCAAAGTGTAAAATTAGTTTCGTAATTGAAATTTTTTCATGTACAATTAGCTAGACATATTGCTTTGATATCAACCAAATAACTAATTACCACCTATTCCTAACTGAATATTTGTGATTTGTGAATAATAGCTATGTT